TTTTGCTGACTATTAAATACTCTGTCTGTGTACAATGAACTTGTTTTGAACTCACTTTTGGTGTCTGACAGGATGTTGAGGAAGTTATCCAGAATGAAAGAAACACTAAGTATAAACTGATGGATCTACAAAATCTTGCTGTCTATTGGGATAATGATGTCACCCTAGTTGGAGACCTGCCTTCCAGTGAGCTAGATGTAAGTCAAATATATTTTAATATATTTTAAAAACACTTACTAGTAAGAGCGGATTTTGTACAACTGTGCAACGGCATGGATCACAACACGGACACGGCACGACACGGCACGGTCATGGAGGGTTTTGAGAGTCGTGCGGCACACCCCTCCCAAGTTGGGGAGGTAGTACCCACCCACCCTCCTCCCCCGGGCAAGAAGTAAGCATTAAAGCTAGGTCGAGATGTAAGTACATGTATTTAACAGGCTGGGATAATTGCATTGTATTGTTCTCATGCTCATTGCAATCCAATGTACTRCCGCCTGATTGCGTTCTTATTATATCATAGTCCCTGTTAAAGTGGGCTTACGGTAATATTCATTATATCATTTTCAATTATGAATTTTAAATATTAATTATTATTGTTCCTAACCATTGTAGAACGCATTACAGAGAATGATAAACCGATCTGAGGGAACCATTGGATTTAGTGTGAGTACCATAATTCAAACAAAAACATACTTTCTTTATACATTTTTCTAAAACCGTGTAACTTTAATCTTACTAGAAACACCAATACATATTAGAAGCCATCAGTGCTCAGGCAAAGGTCCAGAGAAATGCAAGTGCATTACCACTCAAAGACAGGAAGCCACGGTTTGTTGTTGATGTCCACATTGAGAGCATCCCTTTCTCCTTGGTTGAGTTTCAATACAGAACTTTCACCAAGTTAATTGGAGAGTTTCACAGGGCATTCAGGCAGGCTCATTACAGAAAATGGAGGCCGCGTGTACCTATTAAGAAGAAGTAAGTGAGAATTCTACGTTTCACTATATGTCACAGCGGTCATCTTGGAGGAACTTCAACAAAGGATTTCTCTTTTAGTATCTGTATTGTACATTCCTTCAACATGGCCGCCGGTCTTTTATCTTTTGAATCTCATGGGAATGGTTAAAATAGTCTTCTTCACAGTTCCCTGAGCCATCTTGAAAGGTAGCCATGCCTTTGCATTGAAGCGAGACGACCGTTGAGCATGCAATGATAGAAACCTTTCACACCTACAGACAATTATTCACAGGTATCTATCATTGCACGCTCAACGGTTGTCTCTCTTCGATGTAAAGGCACAGCTACAGTGTACCTTTCAAGATGGTGCAGGGAATTGTGAAGGAGACTATTGATCAATATAGTGTAGCACAAAGGCTTGAGTGGAATTCACTCAACATTTATTAATATTTTATTTTTCAGTGTTAAGTTATGGTGGCAGTTTGCATATAATTGTATTCTTAACGTCATTCAAAAACGAAACAAAACTCACTCCTTAAAGTTTCTCCTGGAACGTGCTCGCAACATTAAAGTGTATGTGAAGTCTTACACMGAACACCTGACAAACAAAGTAATTAAAGAAGAATCAAAGGTAATTAGATAGTACTCTAACAGGTCTAGAGTGCACTATGTCGATGAAATAAAATCTATATAAATAGTTACTTTCTAATAGTTGTTGTTTAGTGACAATTAGTTGCTATCACTCAACTGGAACAGTCTTTTTAAAAATACATTCTGTACACTTGGGAAAACGAAAACAAAGGAAGCAATACTTATTTCAGGTCTTCCAGTTGATTGATAGCAACTAATAGTCAATAAATAAGAACTATACACGACTTTCACAATGGCCGACACTAATTAGCATATTTATTGTTAAATTCATAATGTTGACAAAAGAAAGCACTCAGATAATAGATAACAAAGCTAAAGATAAGCTCTGTCAGTTTCAGAGAAAAATATTAAATCCTCTGGAAGTTATAAGGGTTGGAAGATGCACAAAAACACCAAAGCGAGGCCACCAAGGCCTCAGTAAAGAATTTCATACAAATCTTTGTATTTTCATTCCTCCATAACTTCATTAGTTAATGGATGTAGTGTAAGTCTACTGTTGTGTGGCTTCTCCTAGACTACACTGTGAAATTATGGTACGTAATTGTTTGTATTTGGTTTCCTAGGCAACCATGGAGAAAATGGAACATGACTTGACATTTGAAGAACTAGTTATACTCAGAAGAGTCGCCATGAGCAGAGCAGAGAAAGAAATTGAAAAACTCAAGGTACAACCATCAATACTTGCAATGAATAACCAATTATTTAATAGATTTACATTTTATTTCCCATTTAAATCTGTACTCTATCATTTTACATGTAATCTCTGTACTTCAGAAAATTATGAATTTCGTGTGGTCCAGCATGCATTTCAGCCAATCAGGTTATGGTATTTCAACAGAGGTTAAAATGCAGATTAGCCAATCAAAGTGCCCTTTGCTAAAATTATATTTCTGTAGTGTGGGCCAAACACGCACATGAGCCAATCTAAGTGTCCATTGTAACTTCATCAATTATATTTTTGTCAATGTTTTTGTTGCATTCAGTCATCTGATTCTATAGTGTGGGTCAAACACGAACATAAGCCAATCTAAGTGTCCACACAACTTCATCAATTATATTTTTGTCAATGTTTTTGCTGCATTCAGTCATCAATCTAAGTGTCCACACAACTTCATCAATTATATTTGATGTCAATTTTTGTGGCTAGTGCCTCGAAACGAGGCTTAAGCCACTATGCTATCGCCTTGTAAGTGTGTGTGTGTGGCTGTAATTAGAGATAACTCTGTGATTGTTTTTTGTTGCATTCAGTCTTCTGATAATGGGAACAAAGACACAGCAGACCCTTCAGTACCACAGCCATCTTCTCAAGGATGGTTGTCAGGCTGGTACTCATGGTATTGGCAGGCTCCTAATACTACTGGGGACAATAAAGATGGTAGTAATAGCGTCCCTACTTTTACTGCCCCAACATCACAAGGTAAATGTTGGATTGGTCGGACAGACAGACGGATAAAACACACATGTTTATAGCATTGCATTATTGACCATATGAAAAACGAGCAGAAGACTGGGAATGATCACCTTAAACGATCCAGATTTTTAAAAATATGTTTACACAAATAAAGTATATTATCTAAATCAGTAACCTGTAGAAGTGTTATTTTCTAATGTTAAATATCGGCAGAGCTACGAACATTTAAAACTTGAGAAAAACATGAAAACGAGGCTGGTAAGCCCTAAATACTTATTTTCACTCAAACGTTTCCAATTTCAAGCACCTGTGATTTTTTAAAAATGTATGTACAACTCATAATATATGGCGTTACGATAGCCACATCCGTTTTCATATGGTAAATATACCAATAAATAATACAATTATTTATTCATCTGTAGAAGAGGAAGAGTTCTTGGATGAGTTAAGTGGACCAGGGTTCAATAACCAGTCTATCTTCAACCGTGACAGAGTCTTTGCGCATCTTAACTTCCATCTTGGAACTGGATGCTTTAAACTTTTGACATCCAAGGAAACTGAGGGAAATACGGTTACCCATTCAACGATTGCTGAGGTAGAGTTTTCTAATGCATCTTGGGAATCTGAAGTACGACCACAGTCTAGTACTTGGGAGTTTAGCATGAGTCTTGGAGCAATTCATGTCAGGGACAAGGTTACGAAGGGGTCCTTGTTTCCAGCTCTTGTGGCACCTCAAGTTAAGGTAGTCTAATGAACTTATCACCAATCAATCATTGAATTCATCAATCAATCAATCAATCAATCAATCATACTATCTATCCATCAATCTATTGATCTATTTATCAATCAATCAATCAATCACCCAGTTGATCAATTCATTCATTAATCATGGAATTCGATCAATTAATCTATCATTTCATCAATCAATTATCAGTCAATCATCAATCTATCCCTCGATCCATCCATCCATCCATCCCTCCTGTCCATCAATCAACCCACCAATCAATCAATCAATCAATTAATCAATCAATCTATTAATCAGCCACCTGCAAGCATACTAAATATAAATAATAAATTTGCCATAAATAAYATTTCACAGAAAATAGCAAAAGCACCAGTATCAAGTTCCAAGTCATCAGTGTCAGCTCTGGCCATGTCTACCACATCATTTGGACTCAACATCATCCAAGAACTAAGTGAACCACCCGTGTTTGAGATGAGATTCGTACAATTAGCTCCTAACAGTAAAGTGCCTTACAAGTATGTCCAGCTATGACTTCTCATTCCATCCACGTTCCACAAATTAACACGCATTTCCAATTTTCATCTTTCATTATTATTATAATATATATTATATTATATTATAATATTTCAATGTTTTTCTTTCTATTCTTTCTTCTTTATTTCCCATTTCTTTTGTTTTTCTATTTCGTTTATTTACTTTCCTTCTGATCCTTTTTGTCTTTTTTTTAATAATATTCGGTTTCCCTTTTCTCCGCTTCCCATTCAATTCCAATCCTCTTTCATTTCATTTCAGATTCTCACTAAGGTCAGAGCATTTCCCATTCCTTTTTCTTTTATTTCCTTTCTTTTCTTTACTTTCCTTCTGACCCATTTACTCTGTTTATTAATTCCTATTTTCTGTTTTTCCCTTTTCTCTGCTTCCCATTCAATTCCAATCCTCTTTCATTTCGTTTCAGATTCTCACTCAAGATAGATTTTTTCCCATTCCGTTCTCCTTTGTTCTCTTTCTTTTCTTTAATTCCCTTCTAACCCATTTTGCCATATTTTTTTGCTTCTCTGTTCACTTATGTATCCTGTCTCCTCTTCCCATCTCACTGCCATCCTCTTTCCTTTTGTTTTAGATTCTCACTAAGGACAGAGCCATTGGATATCACATACAACCCTCTTGTYATTGACCATGTAGCAGATTTCTTTTCTAAGGACACTCTCAAYGCCAATTACATGACCGTTGAGAGACAGCTCAAAGAGGCTGCTTGGTTGAGATACGAAGAATTAAAGAACCAGACAAAAGCTGAATTGAAGCAAACGTTGGGTGCAATGATGAAAGGAGTTGAAATGGTAATGTCTTTCGCTGTGCGATAATCAAGCACAAGGGTGAGGGGGTGGGGGGCAGGAAATACAGTTATTGTGCTTAATTTTCTACATACGTTTTGAAAATGACTCCCAAAAGGTTTAGAAAATGACCCCCAAGACCTTATCTAGGTCAATGTGGTATATATGCATCAGCACTTTCGGAGAACAATGAGCCCGCCATCTTGAAAAGTGAGACCCGAATCACTATGTTTTGCCTTAGAACACATTTCGTAGATGCTAAGTCAACTAATCTATCATTATATCGTATTTTATTAACTTGACATTAGCTGAGAAGCTTTTAATTCCTTTAGGAGTTTTAATTTTAGTTTTAGTTTTAATTATCATGTTCTTCTTTTCAAGATGGCGGGCGCATTGTTCCCTCAAAAATACTGATGCATGTATACATCCAAGTTTCATCTCTAAAAAAAATGCGACTCAAAAGTGCAAATGTTTTTTATCCATTTAAGGCATCGTGTTCTGTTTTTGTGCAATAATTATTGCAATTCTTGATTGTTTTTAGTTTCAGTTGCAAATAAACTAGTAAATACTCTAAAAGTCTCATACCAGACAACTAAGTCTGTCTCCTCCAATGAGCGTACCTCACTCTCTTCCCTTCCTGTTTATATTACAGAATGATTATTATAATTATAACAACTATTACATTGTCTCTGTTGTTTTTCTCTCCAGAAACACTTCAAGAGGTGGGATATTCAGTTGGAGATTTCAGCACCAAGGATTTTCATCCCAGAAAACTTTAAAGACAGAAAGGCTTCTGTTGTAAGTATGATTGATTGATGGTCTCCTTATAGTTAACCGCAAATATTCAAATTTTCAGAGCCATATTTTTAATTAGAGTTTATCCTTGAAAATGGAATTGGTATGACTGCGRAACATCGGATATTTGCGTTATTTTTTATTCTAGATGCTATTTCTCTCAAGGAATCGGTAATAAATTGACAAATTCATGCAACAAGGATTCATAAAGTTGCATTTGCTCTTTAACYTTCCCTAGGTTCTTGTCGACTTTGGTCATTTGAGCTTTAAGAATTCTGAAGCTATGGAACGGGAACACAGGATATCAGATAGTACAGACACTGATGTGGAAGGTATTACATTGTGGAAGCGAAGAGATACGGATTTTATCATCAAGTGYTCCATTAATATCTCATGGAACATGGGAAGATAAAATTCATATCGCCAAGAAATATGTTTTGTTGTATCCCAAAATGTTTGGTTGCCATAACAATGTTTATTGATGTTCCATAAACCAAMATTGATAATGGCATACGATTATGCATTGCGCAAGTGTAATTATTACTTAATTGTTCCAGATGATTCCTTTGTCACACCACTCAGTACACCACCTACTGAGGATGAGGATGAAAGTCAAGGGTACTCGCCAAATTCTGCCATGAAACTTGCTGAAGATTTGACTCCWGATGGTATYAAAAATGCAATTTACGACAGGTTTGTGATGTTTTGCAGTTTGTTGGGATTTCAACAGCTTTACCTAGTGGACAAAACAAAATAAATGAATGGGATGAATGAACAAATGGATGGATGRARACTGACTGACTGATTGARTGAATAACAGGATTCGTGCTAATCCTTAATATCCTTGAAAAATCCTGGAATAAATGGGATGAATGAACAAATGGATGGATGAAAACTGACTGACTAATTTAATGAATAACAGGATTCGTGCTACTCCTTGAAATCCTTGGAAAGTCCTGGAATTGAAAAAACTCGTTTTCAAGGGCGCTTGAAAAGCCCTTGAAAATTGGAAAAATCGCTAAAACTCCTTTAAAAAACTCCTTGAGTCTGAATTTTGAAATTATTATTTGTTATTTGTTATTTGTTTCCATCAAGGGATCTAGCTCCCAGGCCATCCCTTCTTGAGAATTTCCCTCAAAGTGTTCAATGTTATCAGTCCTATTGTTTCTTGGGTTTCTATTTTTGTTCCTTTTTTTCTTGTGGACTTTCTTGCCCCAGCACCAAACTTAATTTCTCTGTCCTTCAATCTACTGATTGACCACCATGTTTTAAATTGATCTTTTTCCTTGTCCATTTCTTCCTTCAACCTATTCATGACGTCCTCCGGGTACAAATTCATCTCCCCGATAGGCTGGGCGATACCTGCTAGTTGGTCAGCAACTTCGTTGTGGTAGATTCCTGCGTGGCCAAAAATTTTGAAATTGAAAATGTTGCTTGTTAGCTTTTGGATTKAAATGTGGCTATTTTTGAAAATCGCCTCTGGAAACATCTGCAAACATCAAAAAAATCTCTTTAAAAACAGTCCTTGAAATCCGCATTTTTTTGCTTAAAAAGTACTTGAAAAGTCCTGAAATTTTGTAGTGATGTAGCACGAACCTTGAAACAAATGAATGGCGAGGTCATGAATCCATCACGTGACATTTTTTCCATATTCCCTTTAGGTACATGTTGATACTGTCMGATATACAGATGGTGGTCTGCCCAGCAAGAGATGTCGGCAAAGATGTTGGACAGACAGACTTACATGTTGTGGACAAATTTACGATCTCCTTGTCTCTCGACAGGTGTGGTTGAATGTTATTCATAGTAAAATCACGGGCTTCCTGTCTTTTTTTGTGAGTCAATGGAGGGAGAATGGGGGTGAGGGAGGGGAGGCGTCATTAGTCCCTAGCGGCCAAGATGATCATCACAAAGGAACAGTTGTATAAAAAGATAAATTTAACACCGTAAAAAAGTAGGTAAAGGAGCTTAACTGAAGTTTCAGATGTCAATCCTTCGTCGTCTTTACTCCGTCTAAGGATTAACGTCCGCGAAACGACAGTAAGTTACTACACCTACTTTTTTACGGTGTTAAATTTATCTTTTTACACAACTGTTTCTTTAGAAACACCGACGCAGCTCACACTAGTTCACCGCTAGTTTCCACCGTTACAAAGGAATCCCAAAGGAGCAAAAAAGAGTTGCCTGGGGGGAGGAGGCTAGGGAGTTTTACTGGTATGTTTTGTTGTTATAGGAGATTGATGTACACCGCTGATCCTTTGTACCCAGCTCTTGGTTTCTCTGGGAACCTACCTAGTTTAGTATTTCATATCAATGAACATAAGGTAAAAAAATCAGTCGTTTTATTCACCTGTAACATTCTATAATAGTCTTCTTCACGGTTCCCTGCGCCATCTTGAAAGGTAACCGTGCCTTTGCATCGAAGTGAGACCACTGTTGAGCATGCAATGATAGAAACCTTCTTTCACACCTACTGACAATTATTCACAGGTATCTATCATTGTACGCTCATTGGTTGTCTCGCTTCGATGTAAATGCACGGCTACCTTTCATGATGGYGCACGTAACCGTGAACTATTCAAGCCCATTAATCATCATCAACCATAGTCTTATGGTCATGCAATCGTCGCTCAACAATCGCCATTCGACGTTATCCCCGACGACAATTTTTTAAATTAAGTGTATTTGCACATTTTTGCCATAAAATCAAAGTTTAATGTTTTAAGATTTTGATGAAATTCTTGATTCAATATTACATCTAGTGCCATGCGTTAACCAAGTGTATTAACCAACTAACTGGGCAAAACAAGAAGAAACCAGTAAACAGCAACAGTACTGAGTTTGCAACATCCACACCGGTCCATCCTTCTGCAGGTATATATCTATAAATTTGTTAAGGCAAGCTCACTTTAGAAAGTAGCCAAATAGAGGGGAAAAAACTGAAAATTTGGATATTACTGCACTAACCAAATAGTGCTAAACATCCGTGAAACAATTACTACTAATCAGTATTTATAGTTACTATTTAACAATTAGACCTCGAGGTCGAGTGGACTTCGAGCTAATAGCCCATGAGGCCGAATGGGCTATTAGCTCGTAGTCCACGAGGCCGCAGCGGTCTAATTGTTTTAGTATAAACATACTAATCGGTCAAATAATGAAAACAAATTGAAATATCCTTAAAATAATTTATAATTTACAACTTATTTATTTTGATTTTCCCGCGAGTGGTCTATCACAAATTAGACCATTAGTAGAGTAGCCAATCACAGCGCAGTATGAGTGATAGACCATTAGTATGTTTATACTAATAGGGTATAGTAGGCTACCAAAAGGCAAAATCAAAACCGTGTTTGCATAATTAGTTTTTTGCATGTCATAAATTAAACTATTGGGAGCCAATTGGGGTAAAGTAGTATTTAATAGTACAATTCCTATTTCACARACGGATGAAAATGGTTCTATAGTAAGGGCAATAGAAAACAAACGAATTTGCCTAAATWTTCAGGGCCTTTTCATTGTTACTGACAATACTGTTACTTATTACCCAGCGTCTACAAGTATAGAGGATCTCAGCCAAACAGGAGAAGAGCTCTATTACAGYATGTACAGCAGTCAGCTTACATTAGATGATTCACCGCTGCACAGCAGGTAAGATGTTATAATGATTGTACTAGTAGATACAGT